GTTTCATGCATCGAGGCGTTGTTCGTATGCAGTTGCCAGGTCTAGTAGGAAGCTGGTTGCTCGCGGAACATTTACGCCTGGCTTTGAATCTCATCCCGAACAAACATTTTAGCGATTTGAAAACACTTTGGGGGTTCAACTAGTTAGAATATTACATAACAGCTTGAAACAATAGAAAAGCTGTTGAACCCCTGCAGTTTAAGTTTTCTTACAGATTTGGAATTTGAAAAAGTATTTTTAGGAAGACATTTATTTCGAATGTCAAATGAATAAATGGCATTTCATTGAAATTTTGACCCGAATATGTGTGGAGAGTTATTTAACCATTAATTTTAGTACCATCATTGAAGTTATATAAGTATTTTCATTTTTCAAGAAAAACTATTCACTTTTCATTTTTCAGTACATCAATCTCAATAATATTGAAATTTACTGTAGTATCATCATAGTCATCTATCATAGTCATAATCGTGTGATAAACGTCTTATTAGAATTCTTCTATTTCTCGTGTTTGAGTATTACGTAACGTAAATATATGCGGAGATATACAAGCACAATTGGTAGGTATTTGTTTATTACAGACGGAATTTCACTGATTTTTATTTTACGAGATCTCTAATTTGTTCATCCGGCGTTTTGATAGTCCTTAAGTCCTTTGACAATTATGATTGCTTCATACGCACTGACTGAATTATATCAAATATGAAAAACGTTTACAGTTTTCATAAAATGGAAATAATACAGATGGAAGAAAAATATAAATTCAACAATTTCATTTTGACATACTTCGTTTCTCTTGAATAATAGCCTATGAACAGAAACATAGACTTTTTAAAGGAATTTGGCAACATTGCATATAATTAATCGTAGCTAAATGAACATTTTAATCGTTTTCATGAGGCTTCCCTAAGCCTTTTAAAAGATTCCAATTAAATTGCATTACAAATACTACTTCAACTGCATTTCCTCTTATTAAATCATTATATTTGTTGAAGTACTAAAAGCCTTACTTTACAAATCTCATCCCAACCTCATTAAAACTATATTAAGAGATACAATTCAATATTTGTAAAAAAAATTATTTCCAATCTGTATTATGTTTAGAGATGAATGAAAGTAAATATATTTTTAATTTCTTTCGGCCATTGTAAGCCTTTAAAGTATTGAAGTTATTGTGTTCGCAAAAATTAATTTCAATTAATTAAATTTTAAATAGCAATACTCTTCGCACCGATCATATGCGTAGTTAAAAACAATTTTTCTTGCACAAACAATCGTCCTGAAAGGAGAGCTCGCGCTCACTTTGTGATTCTGCTGTTTTCCCTAATGGCTTTTTTCGCATTGCAATTTTTTAATTCCCCCGCTTTCTTCAGTCTTGCTTATCATACCTCTCAAAATGAAATAACCTTTACAATGGGCATACATCTGTAGATTTTTTCTCTTCTAATTAGTAACATAAAAATTTGTTTTCAACAACCAACAAACTTCCGTGTGGATCTAATTGTGCGGCTTTAATTCTCTTATTTAACTCAACGATTTTTGAAAAACCATAATGCAACGAAAAATCCTTCCGGGCTTTTCCATTTTGTAATGTCACGGGCTGAGCGTAATTTTTGGAAAGCGCAAAGTCGCAGGTGAGTAAGGATGCAACGATTTGCCGCTGGTCATTAGAAACATAATAATGGTTATCTAGGATGTCAAGGGTGAAAGAGAAATATCGTTTTGCGAGTGTAAATGTTGCGACACGAGGCCGGTAGACAGAGCGGTGCAATACAACGAGTAAAACAAAATGCTTTCACTTTTATGTTTGTCATACACTGCATTTTAGACAACCTTAGTGACATTCATTGCATTTTATTAAAGGATACAAATCAGTATGTGACATTACGGTCAGCAGAAGCTAATTCGATCAGGCGAAATCATTTAGTTTCTTTGTTGTTTTCACAGTTTTATCTGAACACTTGATTATTTTCTCACTTTCCAAACTAGTGATAGAAAAGTACTAATGGGTTATTAAGTTTATATTGTATTTATTCCTCCTTGTATTTATTTCTGAGTGAGTTAAAAGAACTTTGGCAATAAATTAATAAACACGTTAATAGTGCAGCTAAGTAATATTTAACTCCGTCATTGAGAGAAATTTTGTCGTATAGAATTTGCTACGGAAAATAGTGTGAATGCACTATGCACTACAATTACAGTGTACGCCTTTTTTCTGAATTGGAATTTATTAATTCATTGTTTATTCTACCATTTAATGTGAAAACACTATATGTGTGTCAATTAGGCGTGATTCCTGGTTGGAAAACATGAGATCATTATTAACTGTTTTAAATGCCAATAGAGTATGAAGGCATCGCGTAACAACATATATCGCCCTGTACTGAATTCGGTTCAGCCTTGCTCGCCGTCATAATTACGAAACCGACCGCAAAAATGCAAAAGCAGTAGCAGCAGCTGACGAACGCCGCGAGCCCCCCCCCTCGCCCCCGCCCCCACCTCGCCGCCCCTCGCCCTCCACGCACCCCTGGTGTACTTTGCTTCGCGGAAGAGATCGGTAATGAAGGTTGCTTCCCGTTTTCTGAGAGCACGCGCGGGAGTGAAAGCACGGAATTTGTGAGAAAGTAATTTTCGAGGTTTTGGCAGGAAAACGAGCTAAGAGTCGTTTCTTGTTCCCTTGAAAGGCGATAATGCGTCAGTGCGCCAGTGTCTCGTTTGGAAGCGGAGAAATCGTCTCTGGTGCTTCCAGTCGCAAGACTTATTTAGCCAACATGAAATGCTTCGTCAAATTGTTTAATATTTTGCCAGCTATGTTAGCTGTAAACAAACTTCCATACCTTAATTGATTAACATCATGTTCATTTACGCTTACGAAAATAAACATTTTTTGGCGCAAAATGTTTCACTGCGGAAGTCAAACATAATATTCATCTGTAAGTAAATCTCATTAAATTTGTTAAAAATTCAGTATAGGCATCAGAGTGATTAGCAGGATATAGCAGCAGAATATTGGAGCAGAACTAGTATCTGTGAGCGCCTCTACAATACTGCGTAAAATAAGGGCTTTTGAATAATGCTACATACATTCCCCAGTCTTCTGAACGACCTGGAAATTTGCACCGGTTTTTATTTATTTTTTTGGGAAACATCTCAGAGCTCTGATAACTATTGGTACGATCTTTAAGTTTATTAAAATATTTCCAATAAAGGGTTTTGTCTCTTCTCGATTTTCTAACATTTGTGTGCCTAACATTTCTTATCAAGTAATTGCAATGCAGTGTTTGTGTTCCTTTACGTGCTTTCATAAAGCGTTTCTTTGCAATGTCTCTATTGCCATTATTTCGTTCAAATTTCATGACAAGCCTTACAAGTTTGTAATCTTTATAACTGACCACATACTTTCATTCCTATCCTTCATTAATTTTGACTTGTATCAATAGTTTCCCGCTGGTAGTTTGCGAAGGAGATGTGTCATTATTTTAAGAAAAGAATTGTTTCGGCCTTGCGTCGTAAGGTAAAAACCCGAAAATATGAGAGATGATCTATTGCAGTAGTCTGCTTCCCCGTGCCTGCCCATAATGCGGGTAAACAGTCTCTCCACCTTTCGAGATCTCGCAGTTGTTTGCATTGACGAAACATCTAATATCATTGCGGTCACGATAACTAAACCACATGTTTTGGAGACCTCTAAAATGTTTTCGGTAAGTATATTGCGAGAAAAATGTCATAAATAACTTTAACAACTTGTGAATCACGTAGAAAAGTCTCCGTACTTTCATCTTCGATGTGATACTTGACTGATGATTCAGAGTTCCGAATGGCTAACATTTTTCCGATGTTTAAGTGAAGATTCACAAAGAATTGCTTCTGGGGCTCTAAGGACATAATCCCTTGTTGCCAATGATTCATTCACAAGAATAGTTTTTACGAATTTTTATACTAACGAAAGTCAATCAATATCTATTTTTGATGAGTTACAAATAATTAGTTATATTCAAATAACAAAAATTAATTAAACGTGAACTAAAAATTATTTACCAGAAAACATCAAGTCGGCTAGATGTAGACTGCACCTTTACCCCCTCCAGCAGAAAAGTCCAGTTTGGTACTGTTTGGACACTGGTAATAAATAATAACGACCAGTTCCTCCTGTTTGTCTTATGCCGTAGCAATTATTTTTTTACATAATGGCTCGCCCCTCAAAACACTTCGAATTCCGTGGACCAACACTTGAGACGCATCGTTTTTGCTTTTGAAGCAGCATTTTGGTAAACGATCTTATCTCTCACTTTCTGTTTATAGATCTAAAACTCGTGCCTTCAAAGCTATTTTCTTTCTTTCTGCAGTCAAAAAATGACACTAACACCTTCTATAAAAATAAAAAAGTAAAAGAAACTTCATAAGACCTTTTTTCACGAAAACAATAACATAACGTAACTTCAAAGCGTCTTCTTAGTATTTTATTTCAACGCATGTTTTACGATCTCTGAAGAGAAGAAATTATAATTCAAACAAGAATTGTCACTTAAACATCGAAAAGCAAAGAAATCAATATATATTAACAACTTTTTTCAGGTACGTTCCCAATGAGCGATGAGCAAATCATATTTGAGTTAGAATCTCGACTACAAAAACCCAATGGTGTTTGCAACGCCCCATGTGTCTCTAAAGGATTTTTCTGATAATTATGAAAAAAACAGATTAAGCCGTAAAATAACCAATTGCAGAAGAGTTATATAAAAAACTGAGGAAGTCAAAAAAATATATGACGTATATTTCGAACAAGAATTTTAGCATTTTCTATACATTTTTTTAAAATTACGTGGGGTGTTCAGTTTTCCGGTACTGACCATAGATTCTAGAAACTATAAAATCATTGCAAACGAGGATGACCGACCTGATACGGAAAATGAAGCCATACCAAAAAACAATAGGAAAAGCACCAACAAAATTTTCGGCAGGGGTTTCCCTTGAAATTTCCCTCTCGCTTCCTCGCGCCAATGGGTGGCTACGCGAACGCCACCGCAGTGTCTTTTCAGACCGGTCCTCTCGCGCAGCGGCGTAATGACGAAACCGCGTGTAAAAACGCGGCGTCGGCGGCGGCGGCGGCGGCGGCGGCGGCGTCGGCGTCGGCGGCGACGCGCCGAGTGGCTCGAAGCGGAAAACCCGCCGTAATGAAGGTTGCTTTTTCTCGGGCGGCGCGGCGCGGGGCGGCGCGGCGCGGCGCTAGCGTCGACGCGTGACGCTGCGTTATCTCCGAAAAGAGCCTCTCCGGCGAGAGGCGACGAGGGCCGCGGCGGGGGCCGGAGGGCGGAATGGCGGAGACGAGGGTGGCGAGGAGGGCGGCGGCGTCAGGTGCGTGGCAACGAAATGAATGCGGACGCGAATCTATTCACTGTCGTAATTTGCGTCGTGCAAGCGCCTTGCCGAGCCGCGCGGCGCCGCGCCGCCCATTAGAAACGTTCTGATTGCGTCTCCTCCAAATGGCTCTCGTTACCGAGTTTGCCGCGCAATTATTCTCGGAGACGCGCTTTTTTGGCTGCATATTTAGGTAATCTTTGACAATACCGGCGTACGTAGTCCACGTATCACCTTATCAGTTGCTTTAGTGTGGCCTGAGTGTCGTCTGCAAAGGCGTTCCAATACATTCGGGAGTGTACATTCATACAGGAAGCAATAACGCAAACACATTTCTCATAATTATATTGAAATATGATATCTGTGCCTAATATACAAATTAATCAATCTAATGGCTTACCCAAACGGCGTCGGTTGCTAAGAAAACAGTGATCAAGGGAGCGCGTCAACTGGAGTCGTAGGTTCGAGTCGAGCGTGGGAATGGAGATTTTACCTATTGTATCGTAGTACAATTGCCCTTCCCATACCTTCAGCGTCAAGTCAGTCGCTGGCCAGGGCTGCGAGGATCTTATTTGTGAGATATTTATCCAATATATCAGAGTCAAGTTAGATCTCTCGGCAAGCCTCCCAGATCCGTGTTGAGGCATTAAGTACATTCCTAGAAAATGGAGTTATATATGCACTCTATCTACCCTAATCGCCAGCCTTGACAAGCAAATGTGTGAGTGATCTATGTGCGATATCAAATTGTGAATGATGGATTCACTCCCAAAATTATTGCTACAAGCAACAAGATGGGCCCAAGTGGCCATTTATTTGGGTTGAAACGAGATCGAGATTGGTTGAAACCGGCTACTTGGACGTGATGTTTGTAGAGCACGATAGAACTCCACGGGAATTGGTCGATTGCAACCCAACCGACGTTTTGGAACGAGGAAGGAGGAAATAATTTAATTAAGTTTCCATTCGTGGGGAATGCAAGATACAGCAGAAAACATGAATAACGAAAAGAATGTTTAAAGAGAACGTTATTTTTATTCAGACAAAGGTAACCATGACAATATATTCAGTACTGAATGATTCTTACAGCAAGGTGTTAATCGTGTCGATTGCGTGTCATCTTTTCATAATCTTCTCGTCTGACGAGGGCACAGAAAGGCGACGGACAGAACTTCTTAATGCAGTTTCTGCAAATGCTACCCCATTCATTTAAGCAATATTTCGCAGCCTCAACAACATGGTTGAATTTTAGGAACTGTACGTGTATTCGTAATTTGTCCCTAACTAAAATAGACTTAGTATTTCAATTTTCACATTTTAATGGAAGACCATGGTGTTTCTCTCCTTTCTCCTTGGAGCAGAAAATAATATACGTAGAAATCAATTTCAATAAATTAATAGCATTTCATACAATTAAATTCCAAAATATAAAGCCATCCTTTCTCTATCTCACCATTATAATAATAGAGTTATACAAAATGAACAAAGTAAAAGAAGCATTTGTTCCTTTTCTCTTTAATGTTATCTAAATATGTAAGCGAAACGATTACCTTGGAAGCATTGATATCTTGACGAGCTGCCCCTTGTACACGTGAGGAATACCGGATGCAATCAGCCTGTATTTTTTTCAGGAAAGTAGAAATGACCGCCGGGCAGGTATATTTTGAACCGATATATGGTATCCAGTAAGGAGGTCAGGCAAAATAAAGGTAACCGCGACCAAACAGAAAAGGAAAATCTAATGTTTAGTAAGAGTGATACAATAATACAAATTTCTGCAATACATAAAAAATAATTAATCATTTGGAGTTTTTAGTGAATTAATCACATTCAAAAGGAAAAAATACAACTATTGTGTGAAAAATTCTTACGCAATTCTATATGTATTCTTACATCTACAATAGAGTCTCGAATAAATGTAATTTAATCTGAAAATCAGTACTATATTATTTATGTCACTGATTTTACTGAACAAAAATCCTTTTAAAAATACATTCTAAACGTTTTCACCGGATTTAAAATCTTAGTAAAGTAAATTAAAGAATTTGAGCTTATTTTTAATAATTATTTTTCAATTTTAGTTCCTATGAAATCGTTTGAAATCCTACCAACAAATCAAGGTAAAAGGGAAATAAACACTTTAAAAGCTAGTTCATCTTCAAAATTGCAAAACACATGTGCTTCATTGGTTGAAACATATCACATATTGCCCTAGCACTAGTGTTTTGTGTTTAGTTTTTAAAATACCAAATAACTTGACAATTAGTATTATTCGCAGCCTTGTGGTAGTTAATTTTTATTTGACGCTGACGCAAATGACACTTTATACCTCAGCGCAATCCGATTTCTGGAAAAGCTGACGTTTGATTGATTCCTGCCGCGACGGATCGCTGGGAAGTTGCCGCTGGCGAGTGCATCGCCCTTCAAGGTGATCGACGGCTTCCGTCATGTGCTCGAAACGCCGCGCCGGGCGTTCCCCTCCCCCTCGACCGCAGCGCCACCGGCCGGCGGCGCGGCCGCGAACTCTGGCAGCGCGCGATCGCCCCTCCCCCCCGCTGGCTGTCACCCCCCGCCCAACGCGGGACCCCAACACTGGGCCCCCCGCTGCGCTACCTCTCTGCTCCGATCCACCCGCCCCATCCCACACGTATCTCCACCCCCTTCCCAACCAATGGCCTTCCCCCTCCTGTCCAACTCAAACCCCCCTCCCTCCGACCCTTCCTCTCCCGATCCCACCCAATCTCTTCCCCTCCCTGGCTCACCCCACCCTCCCCCCGTTCCTGCTCCTCTCATCCTTCTCCCCTCGTCTAGCTTCCTCTTCACTCCACCTGCCGCCCCGTCCGTCCCCTCTCCCTCGCCCTGCTCCCCGCGCTCCGGACGCTGGCTGCGCGTTCCCCTCCCACGCCCAACCACGCCCCCCGTGTCCCTCCCCCGATGCCACCCCTGCGCGAGCGGCGCGGGCGGCTTCGCAGCGCTATTGCTCTCGCTGGTGCTCGCGCTGGGCGCGCTCCAGGCCGCAAAAACAAAAACAGCGCGACACTAATTGCGCTTGCAAGCTCTCCTCGTGCTAGTGATCTTTAACCTCGGGGCGAAAATGTAGCTTCAGAAACCCCGAAGTGAATGCGTATATTTGGAGGTTAAATTCAAACGTATAAAGGTTAATTAAGAGCTACCCTACTTATGGACAGTGATGTATTGTCTACAGTTAATTGAAGCATTGTCTACATTAACTGCGGATATCAAACTTCGAAGCCTCCTCATAATGTGTTCGAATGTACTCGAATATGCTCCTGATCTGCGAGCGAACAAAATTAGCTCTGTGAAGAGAACACCTTAAAGGGATGTACGGATATTATAACCTAAATTTCGTCCTCTCCTCATTTCTTTGTCTCTTTGTGTACTTGAATTTCTGCAAACAAGTCAGGGCATGCTGCGACTTCAACTCAAAACACCTGTTCGGGTAGTCATTGCAATATTGAAGGAGTAGAATATATAATTTAAACAAGTAATGATTATTCAAAATTATAATTATTAATACGTACGTTTCACTTTTAAATTACGCTTTCACAATCCACAAAATATTTAATTGATTATTTTCAGTATTTATAGAAATTTATGTATGCATTATAGTATCTGAATATTGCAGTAATTCTTTTCAGATATTAAAGTGTCTCTTGCATCAGTGTTCCTTTCAAGGAACCCATCTTCCCGTAAAGTATACATGTCTGCGGATCATGCCTCTCTTCTGAATACAATTTCGATGTCTCAACTTTTTTGTGTGAAATATGTTTATATTTTCCATTCCACTTTTGTTCATTTCTTCGGTTTTACTGTCACGCAGCCATTTTACTTTTGTACTTTACTTCATAAGCAGAGAATGAGTTGTAATCGTGCGACGGAAATCGGCAATTGTGCGACGGAAATCGGCAATTTTTCGACAGAAAAACGTTTTTTGCTGGGCCCTGGAAACGAAAAATGTATAAACCTTGTTCCGATATGTAATAAATTACTTCCTGTTGTAGTCCATGACATATACGTAGTTCATAACATTGCATTCATAACATTTATTTCCGTAGAATGAAATGTTTTGAAGGTCTTTGATACGGAAAAATTAATTTACATCTGTTTATTTGTCTCTTTGTGTCTTGTCGTTGTCTGCCGTGAACGCTAGACCTTTGATCATTCTGATGATTTTCTCCAAAATTGATATTTCCTGATCAATTTGAATGAAGTCAGTCCCTTCGAGTTTGAAACAGATATTTCAATATATGGAGGAAGGTATAAAACCTCAACAACATTTTCTCAAACATAGCTCCTCATTTTTTTATAAAACTGTCACTGGTAAAAAATGAAGCAGGTCCCATTTCGGTTAAATTCTTTGATTTTTCGGAACTTGCAAAAGTTCAATTTTTTCGGCGTCTTCCTACAATTACAATTTTGAAGATACAGATTTTCCCCTAAATGAAATCGGTTTTATACCTTGTAATAAGGTCATGTTGTATTTTTCGAAAATATTTCCAATTTTTGAGTACGTTTGAGTGAAATAAAGGCAATTTTTAAAATAAATATAGGTAAAAAGCATGTGCTGGTCCCATTTTCGCAAACTCTGTAATGTCGCAAATTGCGAAAAATACCATTTAAAATATACAATATCATTCCGCGTTCTACCGCCGTTGAATGCAGACCTCGCCTAGCTCAGCTCCGCTCTTATCAGTAGCGATAAGCCCGCCGGGGCTACAAGTATTGCGCTGTGTTTCTGCGTGACTTTGTCAACTATTGTTCATGTCTAATAGTGAATATTCCGTAGTGCCAGTATCAACGGACTTAATAGCATAAAACATTGCGGGTGGCGTGACACGTTGTCCAGTGCTCTGTGATCTGTGACCCCAACCAAGATCTCACCGATGGACATGCAGCATTCATCGCCCTCTTAGGCGATTTCAGGAGCGCTAAACACAATCGACGAGGTCCTTCAACAGTGCTCCCCAGATCACCCGACCAACATCTCATCTTCCAACAACATCCACCTTCGGCCCAACACCATGTACCAAATAAACCAACATCAATGGCAAGGACCACCACAGCAGGTTTTCGCCTCTGTCGTAAGTACCTTCTCTCCTCAAAAGTATTAGCAGCTTGCGCAAAACCAGCAGTACAATTATATTATGGGCGAAGTAAATTTCCTTAAAAGAAAGTATGTCGAACTGTTTGGCTCCGAACACGCAAAACTTCCCAAACGCAATGTTCCCGCCGAACGAATTCGCAATATTAGCCAACCTCGACGATGCCCCCGATAGTCACTAATCCTACCGTTAACCATCTTAGTCAGAACGAAAGCCAGCACCGATGGTTGTACATGAAACAGATCCAACAGACTTCAAAAAGTCCTGGGTGAATTTATCAAAATCTGTGTAAATAGCTTCTGCACCTCTAATCGCGGCCAAGTGAAAAAAGTAATTGATCTACCAAACTAAGACTAGAAATATAATCAACTTCAAATGACAAATAAAATCATCATCAAATGACTTCTAGGGGAAAGGGTACCATGTATACTGCCCTTGTTAAAGGTGCTATTATTGATGTAGCTTTTGTTGAAAATTATATTTCTCACACTAAGATATACTGTAATTGTTATTATTTTGACATGTTTTTGAGTTGATTAAAAATAAATAGTATTTTTCTCAATTAAAACTTTTACCCTAATTGTTTCAGCAATTTTGTATAAAACCTTATTTGTTTATAATTTTTATTACTGAATGTTTTAATAATAATTTCAATTTATTGCCAATACTATAATGAATGTGTAACGTGATGTTTAATGAACTAAGAACAATAGTACCAGAGAAAAGATCCCACAAAAAGTGGCGTTCAGTCAAACGTTGAAACCCTTCAATCCAAGGGAGGGGCGCGTTGACGCTACAGTCAGAATCTTAGAGCCTATGTGATTGGCGCAAATAATCGTGGAGCGGGAAAGACGCTGTTCCAGGGCGGGGGCCTCGATTGTTAACGTACGAGGCGGCATCTTCAGCAGAATATCATCAGCAGAAGAGTCATGACGAAAAAATATAGACCAGTAAATATTTAGCATTTTAGCACCAATTATACTAACTTTTAGCAATAAATTTGTAACTTTGTCAAACTGCTATATTAAAATATTATTTGAATAGAATGGTATATGCGGATCCTTTCCGGTCATTGTAGCTCATACTTCGAATTTGTTTATAAAATTGAAAATTTTTGCAAAATTGTTAATTCGCTGTTTTTGGCTCTGGAACATTGGGAGACTTTCCCTCTTATTGATCCGCAAAAGTAGGAAATTGTTTATACATTTGCAAGTGTTACATTTGCAATTTTTTATTGACTCTTCTAAATTCCCTTAAACCGCAATACAAATTTCTGCAATCCGATCGGTGCTATCAACTTCCGTTCTCGAGATATTTAATTTTTTATTACAACTTAGCATCTGATAATATCCCCCATGTTTTGCACTCATTCCATTCGCTCTCCGCACACAAGTACACTGAAAGGAGAGGTTTGCAATGTGTCGCTTCGATGGTTCGCTTCAGACGCTCAGTGCCGAGGGCAGAGGCGAAATCGCCTCAGTGGCGCCTCGAGGCGACAAACGGTGCGTCGGAGCGAAAGGATTGTCTTGCCCATTCCTTTAAAAAGACAACAAACAAGCAAGCAAGATGTAGCGTTCATTGGTAGTTCCGAGGATCACTGCAGTAACAATATCTGTCTTACGGCAACTATGACTGTTTTTTAAAGATTTATCCTTTCTTCCGTCTCAATTTTTGAATTCGCGTGTGTTATTAGTACATAAACAAATTATCTGTTACATTTAATAACACCAAGAGAAGCAGCTTGATGGGAATTATGAACTGAAGCTATATTATTTATTTTTATCTTCTCTATACAATAGTACGACTTGAATTGCTATATATTTATCGGCTATCAAGGAAACTGTTTATAAACATATATTGCAAAGTCCATTATGTACAATGGCTGGCTCAAGAAGCAATAGTGCCAATGATATTTTCTCACAAGGACAACTTGAGCTATGCAAGAGTTCAGTATTCTGGAACTTTTCTATGACCCTGGCTCACGTGACGTAGAGTGGAAAATGAAACGAAGGTCCATTTACTGATAAATGTGGAAAAACATTATCGACGAACATTGTTGGAAATAATGGCTCAATACCAATAGTCGATTAAACTAATCGTTTGCCGCAAAAAGCATTGCCATTGAATGAATGCCGCCCAAATCATGAATCGTTTCTCAAAATACTCAAAATAGAATGCCTTTCAGAAACGCACGAACATATACAACATGCGATTAATTCATGTCCCCACCAGAGGTTTGAGATTTTAAAAATGTTACTGATAAAATTAAAGAAACTACGTGTGAGTGATTAAGTTGAGTTTTCTATAAAATGATTTTAAATTACATGAATTTGAATGAAAATGATGAATTTGAGTTTGTTATGAAATGAATTTGCTATAAAATAATCTGCTCACTTTTATTTTTTTTAATTAATATGAAAATTGTTTGATTAATTAAGGAAAAAGTAAAGGTACCCTCTTTACCCCTGCAAATGCTAAACATTTAATTAATTGCAAATGCTAACATGGCATTTAATTAATTAATAAATTAATTAATATGTTAATAAATTTATTGTTGATACGGATTCAATTTCCAAATCAAAAATTGAATTGAATCATAGTTAATTTTTAATAAATATATAAACCTTTCTATTTTCTTTTGCATATCATTCTGTGTATGGCCGGTATAATATATCCAAGATATTTAAAGATTTTTACTTATTCCATAGGGCAGTTTTCAATGATTATTTTGAGCGAATCATTTCCTTTCCTTTTATTTCTATCATATCGTTTTCTTTTCTTTCTCACCTATGCGTGTGTAAGGAGAAAAGGTGTTCTAATCGTGCGCCGGAAAAAGGTGGATTTTCAAGAAAAGCTCTGATTGTCGAACCCCGATCAACTACTTCCTCCAATCCCGTATTGTAGCCATGGTGATATATAGAGAAACAGGATCTTAAACTTGAATTTGATCATTTGAGCCGTGCCACACTGAGTAGAACGTATTTTGTGGAAAGAGATTTACGTGTTCTGCCTTGGATTCAGGATCTGCCGAGAGGAGTGCGTATGTAGGGACAAGTGCTTTTTCTGCCAAAGCTTAACATGTTGAGTCTTCATGTAAAGTATCCTCAAAAGTTAATATAATCGTTTGAAACTCCCAAAGCCTCGAGTTCGTTCAGATGGAAGGAGGAATATCTATTTTAGAGAAAATTGGCTGAATCAGTTCATTCCTAACCACCTCCTAAAACATATTTCACGTAGATCCATGTCTAACTGCAATTTACGACGGCTGTCTCCATCTAAAGTATTTTCCTGTAGCCTGGCAACACTCCATTACAATTACAATTCTCAAACACGACAAACCTTCGCACAGCCCTGCCAGTTATCACCCAATTAGCCTCCTCACAACCTTCGCAAAAATAATTTTGGAAACTGAATCTCTCCAGACTAAATGATTTTGCTAATCAAACAAAATTAATCTCACTAGCTTAATTTGGATTCCGCCCCCTCTGCTCAACATATCATTAACTTCTCCGACTTCTAGAATTCATAACACTAGGATTTGAACGAAGCAATACACGACTGCCATTTTCCTAACTACAATATTGATGATATATTTTTTTTTTCTTAATGAAAAAATTTTTTGAAACTAGATCTCGAAATAATGGAAATCTTTGAATTTTGAAAAATTGTAATAGTGAATTACAAACTTGTTTAAGCATCGGAAAGGTTGTTTTCAGGTGTGAAGCTGATGATGCAGGTCCGTGGCCTCTCCAAACTCTAAGGTCACGAGTTTTACTGAGTCATTTTGTAGCACCGCTAGTTCTCTTTAATGTTATTGTTAGACAAATTTCCATTCTCCTTTTACGTTATCGAAGAATTGAGAAAATCTGAAGAAATGTGCGTGTTCTTTTTGTTGATAAAAGAATTTTCTCAGTAAAAATATTACATGGAAGTAAAGGAAAACAGAACTGAGATGCAGCTCACGGTTGCCGCATGCAAATACGTATATGCGCCATGCACGGTGAAGGTGGTTCTTCCTTGGGAATGACGCCAGGGAAGTGGCAGGGTCCGCGATAAGCCGTGGTTGGGTTTTTGGAGGACGACAGCAGCTGGAGTGAAGAAGGAGCAAATCCAAAAAGGTAGCCCAAACTCAACAGAAACTTATTACTTAGAGAAAGTCTGTGCCATTTTGTAGCACCACTAGTTTCGTGCTACATTCGTGTCTGTTTCTTCCGTTTTCCGGTCCATCATTACTTCGCAAAACTTTCCCTTTCTGTCTCGCTTAGACCGCTTTTAAACTCGACCCTCTGCAATGTCCAGTCGCCTGGCATGGGCTGGTCAACGCTTCAACAGCCGTCACTTATGCTCCGCAGATTTATTTGTGGTTTGTCAAGTTTCTCTGTTACGGTTACCTGTGCGCATCTCATAAATTGTCAGAGATAAACTGTTCGCTACCTTAGTTGTGACTGCTGATTGGTAAAGGGGGACATTCAGAGAAGTCACGTTAAGATGTAAGATTTATCAATTGAAAGAACAAACACGCAAAAATATTCACTTCATCTTTTGTTCGTCGATGTACGCTAATTGCACTTTGTTATTGGCATTTAATAATAGAATATTATCATATATACTAACCACAAATAACCAAACTTTATAAACGTATTACCTGAGTCCTTAAAACAGGCCCACCGATTTTTTCACCAATTTTTAAATCATATCCCTCTGAATGGCGCATCCAATTTAATTCAATACATATTGTCCTCAGATTAATACACATGGAAAAGCTTTTATAAATCTCTCGGTTGACGTGAGTGAAGAGCTTTTTAAAAAAATACGTTGGAAATTTCAAATAATAAATCATATTTGGTATATACTATATTTTCGAGTTCCTGGCACGATTTTTCGAACCGATAACCTGCGCAGTTCTGTATCCGAATTCCATTCCTTTCTCCAGCGGAATAATTCGGTGAAGGGAGTGGTTTCGTTCTCCCCTTCACGGCAGAGCGCTCCCTTTCATGTAGACTGGAATAATACTTCAATCAATGATCGAAATGGGGTGGATATCTCAAGCTTACAACTTGGTGGAAAGCGGGGCGCGAGCGGTGAGGGCCGCGAGGGTGTGACCGGAATAACGGAAAAGAGCGAGACGAGGAGTTGGAAGTGGGAGGTTCGGCTGAAACTTGGATCCTGATTCAATTTAGGTTCAAATGCGGCGTTTGATTTGACTTTATTAGTTTTCCTAGCTCGGCCGGGGGAACAATTTTGCAGGTCGCGGCGGCG